GCGGACCCTTGATCACTTTCCATTTTGGCCTTGTCTTCATAGACCTCTCGTTTATGAGGATGGAAAGAGAAATCCATCCCCAAATAAATTTCGCAGGGCGCAAGGTGGAGACGGTAGCTTCTTTGTTTGGGTGTGGACAATGAATTCGGAGAATACATCCTCCATTTGCTCAAAGTTGCATACAGCAAGATTGCCAACTTGTATGTGGGATTTTATGACACTTGTTTGGACTCCAGGATCACCAGCAGCAGTATTGTTGTCGTCATCTTCATCATCATCCTTGTTGGTATCTTCATCATCGTCATCACTGTCATCTTCATCATCATCCTTGTCGTCATCTACATCATCATCATCGTCATCATCTTCACCATCTTCATTGGTGGCATCGTCCTCCTTTTTGTCTCCGCCAGCTGCATCACAATCTTCTCTCGCCTGTTTCTGTTGTCCCATGGTGCCAAACATTAATGAAGTCATTGTTTTTTTTGAGAATGTTCTTGCCTTTCCGATTCATTTCTCTAGGATCAGAGTTGACATATAGGAAAAAAATCCGGGCAAGAACCAAAGACTTCCAGAGCCCCCATGGTCTTTTCTGGTTCTTTTTTAGTCCGTCTTTGGTGATGGAATAATGCTTGTTCCGCAAAAAGATTTTTGCCAATCTTTTCATTTCCCCCGCCATAATATCCACGGACTCTGAGGGTTTAGTTTGGAGTGCCCACTTTCCAACTTGTTCTGCAAAGGCAGTTGCAGCAGATGGATCATGTGGATCTTTCCAAAATTTGTCAAGCTCTGTCTTGAACTTCTGGATCCGCTCCCGACAGTGAAATACAACACCAATGTCCCTCAACAACTTAATAATGTCAAACTTTGTTTTGCATCGGCCGGCCATCATGTTTTGGCTGTACACCACAAAGCTTTGCTCGTGCACAGCTCCTAAAGGACCAGCAGTGGGACTGCATACATACTTGATGATCTGAAAGGAAAGCCATGTGATCTCAACCTTTTCCATGGTGTCTTTACGATATTTCTCAACACCAGAAAAGGTGAAGGGCTGACTGGTAGAGGAGTCCAAACTAGAGCTGGAATCACCATCATCTGTTTCCTCGCCTGATTTGTCACTTGGCTCCCATTCGGATTTGATCAAGTAGCTGCTGCATAGCTTTTTGTCTCTGGATATTGCCTGCAGCTGTTTCTGCATCTCACCAATAGCAGCCGAAAGTGTCTCAACCGGTTCAAAAACAAGATGGAATTTGCAGAAGCCCTGGGATTTGGCAAATAGGAAACCAGAAATTTGATCGTGGTAGAACTTCTTGGTCTTGGCCCCTTTGAAAGCGCTCGTCTTGCGTAAAGCATTCAAGGTATAATGGCAGTCTTGCTGGTAGGTCTTCTTGTTTTTTCATTACGTTTTGAAAGAGAGCGTATAAAATCATGGTTGTCACTTTAGTTAATGGGCAGCTACCTTCTTCTTCATTGAGTTCATCATCCTCATCTTCTTTGGACGAGGATTTATCCAAAGAGTGCTTGTCCTTGGCCTTTACTTCATCGTCATCATCGTCGTTGTCATCATCGTCTTCATCCAAGTCTTCATCATCATCATATCATCATTGCAGTCATCATCATTGGAGTCTTCTTCCTCTTCCAGAGTGCTGGAGGCTTCATTTTCCTTGTCCTCCTCAGGGGCTTCGCTTCCCTCCACACCCTTGTCGTCCTTGGACTCCAATACCATTGGATGCAATATCATGTATTCTCGAGATGCTGTATCATTTTCAATAATCGTGCAACATTTCCATTGTTGACATGGAAAGGTGTATGCTTCACCTGGAGTGCAACGAAAGTGTAGAAGGTCAACATCAGGAGTGCTCAATTCCCGTCTTGCCACATTCTCAAACACTAGTAGCATGTGAGTCAGTACCATCTTTGAACTCAAAGACAACGTTTCTTTCCATTCCTGGAATGCTTCAAGACCGTGGGAATGTTCGGAATTGTCTTCACATTTTGGAGCGGCGAAGACAAGGGAAAAGCATCCCTGCAGTGGAAAAAAAGTTGCCGAGTGAATTCCAGATAATACTAACGAAGGATCCATTTTGTATAAGACCGGATGTGGGTTTCATAGTGTAGTCCCGTACCAACATCCGGCAAGGGCCTTGTCGCCATCAAGAGTGGGGTCGTTCATTTTGCTTAACAGACTGGAGAAGCCCAAGTGATCCGTCCTTCCGATTTGAAGCTGATAACAATTGGAAATAGGAAGTTTAAAGTAGGATTATTGTGGTATTTTGGATTGTCCATTTTGTCACCAGGAATATAGACGACCGGCATGAAAAGGAGACTACAAACGCTGTCAGACTTATTCCTATTTTCATTGAAACTCTTGGAAACCGATAGTTGACTGACACGAGAATCGTTGCCGATGAGTCCGGCAGCACCTTTGGCAACTCCATGTTCAAATTTGGAGATGTAGAAAGATGGTTGTGGGATGTAGATAGATGGTTGTGGGATGTTTGGAGCTGACATGATGTTGCTATGCAATTTGAATTTTCAAATCGGTCTTGGATTGTACAAAAATTCTGGTACTGGGGCAGCGTAGCAGCCCTACAATACTAGGCTGAAGGAGGAAAGTGCGAATAGTTGGATACCGCTTGAGGATTGGCACAGTCAAAATGTACATAAAATAAAGTACTAGAAATTGTCGTGACGGGCTCGCTGCGTCAAGACCAAAACCAACAAACACAGAAACTGTTTTCAAAACCGGAGGAAACAGCAATGGATTCCTAGTGCAATGGATAGGAAGGAATCACTGTGCCCAACAAACAACAAACAGTATGATGATTGGCTTCAGAAGGTGATGAGCAATGTTGCGCTTTGAAAGGACGACTGGAGATTGAAATCAATTGACGTCAAATACCATTGCTGTGGGCAGATGTGTTTGTTGTGTTGGTGCAGCGCCGGCCGATTTTGAGTTCTGATGGTACAAAATTGTACAGAAAAAAACCGTACCAAACTTGGTATGCTCACAAAACATCACCGGCCTGTACATTTGCCAGGATATGCAAGGACTGCTACTGCAGTTTGTTGGCAGTCTGAGAAGTCAGCCACCCATAGAACATCTTCAATGATCAACAAGAACGGTTTTTATTCCATGCTGGTGGACGAGGTAACAATCAACAAACGAATGCGTCTAAACTACCTATTGAAATGATGTTCAAGCACCTCTGAGCCAATTACAATTTCTATGCTTTCATATTGCAGAGTGAATCCAAAATTGGGGGCTTATTGCACCGCGATTTTTGATGTCTCAAATACTTCCAAGATCCGTCAGAAGTGACGGCAGCTGGTCTTGTGTCAACAACAAACCATTTGTGTCAACAACAAACCATTTGGAAGCAAGGTGAATCAAGGCATGAAAGCAAACGCAATTCTTAGGAGTTGATATTATTGCTATGATAATGATGAAACGCTTACTTATATTATCTGTCAAATCCAACACAGCTGGATTCGACTGATAATATATGGCGTCCTCAATTGACTCAATATTTTGGGAACCAAGAAAGATGAGTAATGGCCAACACGAGGCTCGATTTAAACGTAAAGAGACTACGTGTGTATTCGACAATTGAAGGCATGCAATAATCCACCGGTTTCAAGTAAGACTCGCAAGAGAAAATATTGGCAGAAACCTCTTTTGGGTTCCGTGACGGCCAACGCCGCAATAGGAAAATCTGTGACAGGAGTATAATCATAGATGATGCTTTCAGATTCTTGAATTGCATATTCTGCTTGAGCGAGAATACAATCTGCCTTGATGCAAGCATTGGAGACAATGGCTTGGTTCCAAAGGTGTAGAGACTAGTACGGTATCAGCAAAAGCAGTTGATTTCTTTTTTAGAGGCATTCTGCCATCAGCAAAGACTGAACAATACTCAACACAATATAGTACCCTAACAAGACTAAAAATCAATGTCTGCCAATTGATTTATCCGTCAACTCATGTAGAACTAGTCAATTTTGGTTTGCCAATCTACAATCCCATTCTTAAGGCCAGCTAGAAGTGATCCTATGGGATCTACAGGGCTTCCTTGTGATTGAGGGCTAAGGTTGGCCATTAAAACAAGGAGTCTAGTCGTTTGATATGGAACGTCTTGAACATAGCGGCCAAATCCAACTAACAAAGTACCATTTTGTGCGCCATAATTTTTTGCAGTACATTTTGGTACATTTTATACAGCACTCTATATTAAATTTCACTGGCCCAGATAATTCTGTAGATACATACCATGTTTCTACTGCTAGTAGCCTATCTGTAGCCTGGAACATGAAAGGGGTCTTACTTTGTTTGGAACATGAACATTTCACAATTGAAAAAGCAAAAGGCTAACTCTTTAAAAGGACAATGCCTCATAGCAGCGGTGAGAAGAGAGGTAGGTCATCTTCATCCAATGACCATGAGAATGAGAATCAAAAGAGGCAGAGGTTAAAAGGCAAGTCCATCAGATTCCAATGCGGTGTTTCATCCCCACCTTTTCTAACATGGTTGTCTTTTTGCTAGAGGCAGCATTGGCCCGCAAACAGGCGGAGGCAGAAAGAGAAATGCAGTCCACACCAGAGGGACCACTGGCAACCAATACTACGGTAACCCCCCCCCCTCTGTACCTACAGAAGAGTACAACCCAGCAGGAGTCGACTCCCAACCTCGGAAGAGTGCAGGGATACGTAAAGCACTGCAAGATGAACAAGAGGCTGACGCTGGAGCTGATGCTATGGAGCAAGAAGCTGATGCAGGGGAAACTAATGTACCATGTCCAGAGCCTCCAGCACCTCAAGCACCCAATAGGGCAACCGCTGCCCCTTGGTACTTGAGAAGGAGTGCCACTAAGGACATGATCCACATGAATTTGAACAAGTTTGTTGGCAAACGCATTTTTTCTAATGCAAAGTTCCCACTATCTGAATTGCACAACAAGGCTGTATGCAAGTTGGCCGTAGGGTCAGAGGTGGTGAGGTTAGACCAAGGGGTGGACCCAGATGTATTTGCGGAAGAGTGTCACAAGAGTGTGAAAGAACGGATGGCGGCATTGCGACTGAATTGTCACAATGCTGCAAGATCAAAGTTTCTAAGTAAGTGATTTCAATTTTTTGATATTTGGAAGAAGTCTCCTGTTGGTGTCTGACCCTCGTTTCTGCAAATTCCATTTACTACCAGATGACCTGAAGCTTGACAAAGTCCCATCCGATAGCTTGGTGGTCGATCTCCTGGAAAAGAACACTGATGCAGCTGTTGGATACAGGAGTTGTGGCCAAGGATATCGAGACTACCTGACAAAGGATGGCACAAAAGTTTTGCAAGCAAGGACGGGGCAGTACCAATCCTTTCATTACCTAGTGAAACGGATCATGCCATCAATCAATTGCACAAACACCAAATTTGATGTGCGGAAGCAGGAGGAGACGATCAGCAACATCTTCACCGTGAGTGACGAGGCATTTGCCCTGGTGCTACTTGAGAACTATGAGAGTCGTTGGAGGAAACAGCATGAGGATCCCAAATCAGCAAGACTCCGAGGTAAGGAACATGCTGCTATAAGCAAGGAGTTCAAGGCCAAATTCACATCAAGTGACGATGGCTTGAAGCTGAAGTCATCTGGTTGGAGTCGACAGGGAATTGAAAGCTACAACGAGAAGTTGAGTTCAATTGGTAAGTTAAGAAGGCAATCCCGCACAGGGGCAGCCCTAGAAGAGTACGAACTGTGGAAGCTGCGCGGTGGAGCAGACATTTATGTAAAGGGCACAGTGCCTCCTACTGCAAACGAGAGACAGATACCTATTGCTGAAGGATCGCTGGCTGTCCTTCCTGAAGCATTGGAAAGTATGTTTGCAGAGGTCTAGCCTCGTCAATAGATTGTCATTAAATCGTCAAATAAAGCAAATTTGTTTGTGATATAAGCAAAAGGATCTTTCCAATACATTCATAATCTGTATGCCCTTTAATCACCATTGACTGTTCTTCAGAAGGCAAGGAAACTCTGTTTTGTAGGTCATTGTAGTTGTCATAAATTGACAAGGATCTGGTCCTTTTAAGGCGTTGGCCATTTGATGAGATGACATGGACAATGAGAAAGAGGAAGCCATCGGATGGCTCTCAATCAAATGGGTCCACTTCAAAAGGTCTTTCCGATGGGTGGAAAATCAAAAATGCACATGATCAAAATCCTGGTCAGACGGCTTCGCATCCCAAGGTTCTGCGACAAAATCAAATGGGAACTTTCCAAAAATGAGAAGGTTATTTTCCTCAAAAAGACAATTTCCTTGTCATAAAAAGGACGAGGGGTTCTTATCTATCACATAGGCTTCACATGGGGTGGTCCTTTTGCAATCTTTACTGATAAAAGATGGGATTGTATTCGGAAGCTACCACCAATGGCAGAACATATTTTATGATCTCCTTTCAGTAGATTGATGCTCTAGACATTTGAATTTGTATTTCTAAGTATCACTTCTTCTAGGCTTCTTCTCTCAAACTTGTACTTTGCAAATTTGTGCCCAATAAGCTCAAAAATCATATTTATCACTGTTGCTTTTCTTCCAAACAACCAGTTGTTGATTGGAAGCCCTCTCCTTTTTTGTATCATCCTGGACCAAATTGGCTAATGCAATATCTTGGGCCTTGAACCTACACTTCCCAGCGCGCTGTTCAACTATTTCCTTTACCTTTTTCTTCCCCAGATCACGGAACGTGCCGATTTTCATATCCGACTTGAATGCTAGTTTCATCATCTGGTAACCTGAAGATGAAAATTTGATATGAGATTCACCAACAGGTAGAATTTCAGGTTCCGTTTCAGTCGCTTTGTCAGGCACAGTGTCGTTGTTGGTGGCATTTTCTGGGATTGCAATTTTGCCAACAATGTCATACAAAGGATTCTAGGTCTCCACAGTCCCATGTAGACAACTTTGCTCAGATCAGAATACTGTGAGGTTGTAGTGTTTTGTCCAAGTCGATGTCCTAAAGCTATTTTGAAAGGTCTAACACTATTTGATGAAGTTCCAAAGGTCAAAACTAGGATCATGGCATCCAATGAGATGTTGGAAAAAATATGTGCACCTTGTCGTTCCAGAGGGAGTGTTAACTCAAGTTTTCTGCCAAACTATTCAAAATATATTTTTATTTATAGCCTCAATGTCACCTTTTATAACAATTAATGTCCTATCAATTTTAGACTACTTATTGTCCAACGGAAATGCAACCAATTGTTAATAGGCAAACATGATCTGAAACTAAAAACACATTTCTCACATCAAAACCCCGCAGGAACGATTTCAAACAATGTGTGGGTCCAAACCTAACTTCAATAGGGAACGGATGCAAAGCTCATCCTCTTTCACCCCGCAATCCATCATCCCGCCTGAGCAGCATGAGGCAATCAAAAAGAAGGAAGAAGGTTGCAAATGAAATGGAAATTGGCAATGGAAGTGAGGATGATGATCATGGAGTAGGCAACAATGAACTCCATTACAATGATGATGATGATGATGTTGACAATGCATTGTCTATGCATGATGAGTCAAGTGAAGAGCAATGCAATGATGAAACACTACAGAAAGAAGCAATGCTGAATCTGGACACGAAAGTGATTTTCTAGATATTCCTTTCTTCAAACTCCCGTGTCTACAACAGGCCAAGCTTGGATTGCCACAGAGCCCATTTGACGTTCTGGCAGGTAGCTTCATTGCTCTCAAACATACCTTATTGAAGCTTCACTGGTTTCAGTATTCATGAATTACAGAGTATTCATGTCACATTGGTATGGTGAATCAATCCATTTGTCAAAGAGTACATTCTTTCTGGTTATTCTTCTGGAAGTGGCAAAACAAAGGAAGCCATGTACATTAGTCACCAGTGCATGTTGATTTCAGACACAATTCAAACTCTTTCCACAACTGTAGGAAAACAACCAAGGTTCTCACAATTGGATTGGTCCCTTCTGCAATGATATCTCGCTTATATTTGATGAAGTCGCGCGCCATTGCCACAGCACTCGGTTTTGTGTCATCTCAATATGGAAACTTCTCTATTATCCATTGCTTCCAGAGCGCTCTTTCCAATTCCCATCCAATGAGAGAGGGGAAATATTTTGATCTCTGGTAGCGCTCTTTGGGGCCCAATATGATACTTTTAAACTCCATAGCCACTTGGAAACATTGAAGCCAGCTCCCATAGAATCCCTTAAACAAGCATTCCAGCATGTGTAGGCTGAAATGGAAATCTGCAGGGACAATGGTGACTTGACCATGCAGCTGTTGCAGAATTTCCCTAATCTTTTTGTTGGATTATGTTCTCTGTCCGTTCTCGTCTCGACATCTCAAAAATTCCATGTCAACTTGTTTGAAGAAACTGATTAGCATGTCGGCCGTCAGCACATCCCCAGTAACAATGAGATGCCTATCTTCAAAATTTGACGGATTGACCCATGCGTAGGAGGGGGAAATGAGGGCATAGTCTGGTGCAGTCATTGTCAGGCCCACATGACACAGTTGGCCTCCTCCGTTTGGTGAGGGGAATTTGGCTGTGTTGCGTTGATTTGCAATATCCGATGCGTTGACCTCTTTGTATGTTGGTGGATTTCCCACTTGTGGGAGGTCGTCAAAGCGGGCGAGGCATTCCTTGATGGTGAGTGCAGGTGTAAAATCAGCCATGGTAGCTGTGGTGCGTGTTCTGGAGCTACTAGCGTGTATTGATTGGATAGATCAGGCAATAAGGATCGTAAATGGAGACACACTAGGATAAGGAGCAGGCTAGTCAGCTTATGTCAGTGTCTCTATTTGCAATTGTTGTTGTCGTTGCAGACGGACTGAGGATTTGAATTGGCGTGCTTTGTAACGGTATTCCGGGAATGCTTGAGGCACGAGTGGATGTTGGAATCAATAGTTTGAGTGAGGCAATCTGATCTAGGCAATACCTGACACTTGGATATGTGCCATATTGTTTGGCATATGCCCGATTCATAATGGCAATGGCAATATGCCATACATATGAATCCTATCAATATGCTTCGCCTCTGCAAGGATCCCTACATGGATGTTTATCTCTTGCACTGCTCTGAGGGTATGATGTCGTTGCATGATGATTTGTTATTTGAGTTGTTAAGTAAATGATATCCAATCAATTAAATTACTGTCGTTGTGTGATGGTTTGTTGTTAGAGCAATCTCATCAATCGAAGTACTGGCTGCGTTTCATGGATTCCATCAGATCATTCTGATCCTTCTGTTTCAGCTCCGAAACTTGATCAGTGTTCCAAAAATAAGCTCTTCGGAGATCAATCCACTTGGCCCTCCCATTGACGCATACAATGTTCTCCACTCGAGCATCCCCATGCACCACATTGTTTTCGTGGAGCTCTTGAAGACAATCAATAATAGCTTTCTTTGAAAGACTAGAATAGTGATTTCCAACTTCCGAAAATAGAAGAGCAGCACCCAACTTACCAAATTTCCTGAAAGAATCCTCTTCAGCGCCGACAATTAGGTGAGGGCATTTCCGTTTAGCTTCATTAGTAATCGACATTTGCTTTTGAAGTTCTGCCACGTTGTCATCAACATCTGGAACTATCTTCAATGCAAAGGCCACTCCATTCTGATTACAGACTTTAAAAACTAGACCAAACGCTCCACTGCCCAAGTATCCGTTCTCTTCGGGCACTAGGCCTAACTCAAAGCAAGCCTTGTCAAGGACCTTAATCAGGGGATCTTGCAGCATGAACTTTTCCAACCGTGATTTCGACCCGCCGTCGACCCATCGACACTTCCTAACGGAGGAAGCTCTTCCTTTAACAGTCTCAACTAGCCAGAAAGATTCTCGATCGAAAAGAACCAGGCGTACCGTTATGGGACCGCTCTCTTCAAAAGAGAGGTGAGCTGCGTAGTTGATGGTCTGTCCAAACGCTGAATTACTAATGTCTTTTTTTGCCTCCAAGACAACGCAGAGGAAGCGACGAAGGTTCCAGTGTGACAATTGCCCAAAAATGTCCGTTGATCGCCGCATCTGATGCAGCTTGCTATCCCCCGTTGCAGCAAATGGATCGCGTTTTTGGTAGAGGGACTTGTGGCAAATAAACATGTCCGGTTTTTGGTTGTAGGTACTTTTCTCGTCACCAGATGTCTTCAGCCACTTGTACTCTTCAGAATTCACAAGAACTCTATTAGAAGACCCATTGCATTGGAAAACAGCTGTAAGGAATGGGGTCAAGAAAGCAACCACTTGATGCTCCGTTTCTAATTGTAACAGGTTACCCGATTGCTCGGTGGTGAGGACTGCGTCACCTTTTCCTTTCTCATCAGGATTGTGCACATTTCCAATTCCTTCCAGACGGCTAAGCTCCTCTGCCCCAAAACTTGCTGGAGTTTTTTGAGGGGTAGCTCTGGCAGGTATGGAAACAGACTCTTTGATTGCAGTAATGTCCTTTTGCATGTCCTCTAGGAACGGAGTGTTCACACTTTGGTTTTCCAGAATGGATGGCATTGGAGTGCGTTCAATCAACAACAACTCCTTTTGCCGAAGCCTGTCTTCCTTTTGCAGAAGCTGGCTTTCCTTTTGCCGAAGCCTGTCTTCCTTTTGCCGATAATAAGCTTTGTCAACGTCCGAAATGGTGGGGTTCTTGAGAATTTCGTTGATCTCCTCAATTTCATTTTCCACCCTTGCAATAGCTTCGGCTACTTGCTCGATTGCTTGCTCAACAGAAGCAGACATCCTCAAACTTGAACAATGTTGACCTACAAAGTGGCCCGTCTTCTTTTCCCCGGGCAGCTTTGCTTACTACCAGGTACTTTGCGGGTGTGCACGTGAAAACTGAGATGTGGTACCAGTACGGTCGGTGTGGTTTCACTCTGTAGGAATCGTGCTAATGTCGCATGGCAGACGCTTTCTGTACTTCGTTCCTCCGTAACAGTGTTATGCGCGTCTATCGTTTCAGTGTCAATTATGGTAGCATGCCCCGCCTGTAAGAAACTGATAACAACTGCCATAGTTGCTAGTAGTAGGTGTCACTTCACCTTTGGAATCTAATCATTGTCTCATTTCCGTGCACCAAGGCCTTGTTGATTGTTTTCTCGTCAGAATAAACCCATCCCCTGTGACCATACGGTAGTAAACTGTCGTAGCGCGGCCTTATGGTGGAAACTTGGCCATCAAGGAACCCAGCAAGAGTTTGCCTCTGTTTTCGCCTTTGCATCTTACTCAAAAAACGGTTGATTATTGCATTTCTTCAATCATGTAATACACATGTAGTCTCTTTGGCGGCGAGCTTGAGCCTGGATTTGGTCCTTCCTCACCTTGCTTGATTCCCAAAATATTGAGTCCATTGACGACGCAAAATCTGACTACCATCATCAATGACGTCAACTTCTACGCTGCATATCTTGAAATGTTCGTGACCTCAAATTCAGAGTGCGATAAATCTCCGATTTCTGATTGGATCTGCGATATGAAGGCACAGATGATGTTATTAGAGGTGCTCGAACGTCATTTCAAAAGTTTCAGAGGCATCGGTCAACATACATCAAACAATCATTGTTACCTTGTTCAAAATCCGTCAAATCCTGGCTAGAGCCAGGATCATAGAGCATATATTCTTGCGATGGTATGCATGAGGCCAGTGCTGTAGTGTAAAGACACTTTATTGCAATCCTGTTGCTTTCTCCTCTTTTCTTTTCTTTCCTCTTCGTTTTCTTCTCTTTCCTTTTTCTTCCTCTTCCCCCTTCTTTTTCCCCGGGGGATTTAGTATAAATAGTTGCACCAGCATAGTATAAAATTCCGTGTCAGAGGAACCGCCGGGAACGGTGGTCGGAGTGGTCGGCGAAACGTTGGGGGAGACTGGAAAAGGAATGGTTGCGGAATTTCAAAACCAGCTCTCCTTGGGGGAGGGGAAATCGGTATACTGTCGTGAGTAGTGGTGTAATGACCTTGGAGTGACCTTGGAACTAGATTAGACCCTTTGGAGGTACAGACATAGCTTTAGGCCTAACTCTCACGTCACTCCTGTCTGTGGCTTTCTGAGAGACTCTATAACTTTTGTTGTGACCCATTCCTATCTCTTCTTCTAGGCTGGTTCACTATTCGAATAGCCATAAGGCTTAGATTGAAGACTACAAGAGTATACTCTCTCACACACAAGCAACTGCTGTTTGATTTGATCGAAAAACCTCGATCCTTTCAGATTTACAACAAGTTTTACACACCAGTACTTTTTCTACGATGGCTTCTACGCACATGCTCCGTCAAACCATCATTGTCAATGAGGGCGACTCTCCATTGGCATACAAGGCCAGGGAAGTCACTAATCCAGTGATGCAGTATGTCAGTTTCTTCGACAACAACTTTGAGCGCAAGCGAAAGGTTGAAGTTTGGAATGGTGCAAGTGGAAAGAATGTTGAACCACTCCTCAGGTCCATTCAATCCTTTCGCAACATCTCTTCAGAGTGGGGACTCAATCAGGGTCGTCAAAAGAAGGCCTTGTTCAAGCAATTCCTCACTGCTGAACCGCACATGACCTATCAGAGGATTTCTGATGCTCATGGGAACTCAGTTCAGGACTTTGAAGATTCTGTCGATGAATTCATTTGCGAATACACGGGCGAGAATCCAAAGTATCAGGCGAACATGTATCTCTTTGATACTTCCAACCACATTCGCAAACCATATAATACTGAAATTGGAATTCACGCAAATCGCTTAAAAACCCTATTTATGTATCATGATATGCTTCCTGGAAATTGTTCCAACGTGAACGATGAGAACGATCCGGGGCAAATTCGGAAGAGAAAGCTGGCACTGTTCCGCTCCTTTCCAATTGATTGGCAGGGAGATTTTATCAATTCGCGGAATGATCCGGCGAACGACGATAATATTACGTGGAAGGATATTGTCAGTTGGATGACACAGAAGAAAAGAACAGTGGACAGGAAGAGACTTATGCAGGAAAGTTCTCCCCGTCAAACTCGACCTGGTAATCGCACAGGCGGTAGAGGCCTTCACCACAATCGTTTTCGTGGTGGTCGTGGTCATGGTTGACCAAGCAATGGTTATCAACCATATCCAAGGCCCTCGAGCTCTCCAAGATATTCTCAAGGGACTTCACAAAGTTTTCAACGTGGAGGCAAATCCCAGAAACAAAACCAAGGACGATATCAACCAAGACACCCCAACAATGGTGGCAGGGGCCGTGGATTCAATGGCCAGCGCAGTGGACGCTCCCAATCTGGTCGTTTTCAGCCAGGACGAACCTATCAAGGCAGAGGCCAATCACATCAACAAAACAGTCAAAATTTCTATGCTGAGTCGCACTACAATCAAGAAGCTGTTTGCTGCGGAATGCAGCGTTCCGGAATGGAACCAAGACGGAATGTCTTATGGCGGAATGCCAAGTGCCGAGCAGTACCAGCATCAGGAACAATATTATCAAGCTGAAGAAAATCAGCAATGGAATGATCAATACAACTATGAACAAGAAGAGTATTATCCTGAAGAACAGGAGGCGCACGAACATTTTTCCTATGATGAGGATTCGCCATTTTCCTTTCATGAAGAGCATTACTGACCCAAAAGTACTCGTAAACTAACAAAGCTTCCTAAGCTTCCTAACCCATTTCTGGAACCTGATTTGTCTTCGTTTCTTTCAGCATTGGAAAAATTTGATGATGAAGATGGTCCCATGACTAAAGATGAAAAGGAGTTTCTTTTGAATGATTCTTTGCTTCGTATACCTACGCCAAAACAAGGCGTAAATTCTATGGAGGATTTGATGAGAAAAAAGCGACTTTCACCTACATCTTTGGTGATTTGGAGGACAATTGGAGGAATTGAAGGTGGAAAAGTTTTACGAGTATTATTTGATTCAGGAGGATTGCATACGATGATCAATACAAGGGCGATTCCTAAAGATGCTAAGGTACAAAGTATTCAAAATTCGAAGAAGTGTACTACTGTTGCTGGTGATTTTGTTTCTGACAAATGTGTGAAATTGCGGGACGGAGTCTTTCCCGAATTTGACAAACACCGCAGAATTGCAGGTGTCGACGGTGTCAAGGCGAATGTCTTCGATTCGCCAACGTGTCCACATGACGTCATAATCGGACGCGACCTTCTACACAAAATGGGCTTGGATCTCCAATTTTCAAACGGACAAGTCAAATGGATAGACAAGTTCATTCCAATGAAGGCTCCAGATCATTGGCAAAATCACACCAACTACTAAATGGCATTGGATCGCAATGTTTTAGATATCTACAATGATGATGATGCTGATGATGCCTTTATCATGGATGCGAAATATGAAGCTACTTCAGGTGCTGAAGTTGCTGACAAGCAACAACATCTAACTGAAGATCAGCGCAAACTTTTGGCTCAAGCGTTGAAGAATACAGACGAGATTTTCGATGGTCAACTCGGCCATTACAAGCATGAGAAGGTTCACTTGGAGCTCATTGAGAATGCGCAACCCGTCTTTTCTAAAGCGTATTCTGTGCCGAAGCAACATGAACCTGCATTTCTCAAAGAATTGAAACATCTACAAGAAATTGGAGTTCTTGAACGAACAGGCCCGTCAGAATGGGCGTCGCCAACATTCATCATTCCAAAGAAGGACGGTAGGGTGCGATGGATCAGCGATCTCAGACAGCTGAACAAGAATATCAAGCGTAAAGTATACCCCTTACCTTTGATTGATGATATTGTTGCGCGTCGTTCTGGCTACAAGTACTTCACAAAACTTGATCTCACAATGATGTATTATTCTTTTGAATTGGATGAGCCGAGCAAAAAACTTTGCACGATCAACACCCAGTACGGTCTGTACCAATACAACCGGATGGCTATGGGATTGAAACCGGCTCCTGATTTTGCCCAGTACTACATCGAAAAAACTCTACGCGACCTATAACAAAAAGGTGTCGAAATTTATATGAGGCGATCTGGTCTGATCATACCGTGCGCAATTCTCCTGCATGCAACCCTGTTCCACTTGACTCCTTTCAGAGACAATCCGCAGGCCCACTTCACCTGAAGGCAGCCTCTCTTCAACTTGAATCGCTTGTGACCCCCCCAGTAGATCCTTTTGCCTGGGCGCGGCGTCTTGCCTCCTCCCGTTGCTTCATCCGACGTAACCTCAGGAAACGATCTCCGGCCTTTTGCGACCGCCATTGTTTCTTCTTGGACTTCGCCGCCTGCACAGTCAAGAATTCCTTGCGCCACTTCACAGCATAATAATGGGTCTTAGCCTTGAGGTATTCCTTACGGTCCTGACGGAAGGCGGCCTCCAATTCCGTTGTCGTCTTCTTCCACGCGTCCGGTGTCTCAACCTTCTTCATCAATCTGCGGATTTTACACGAACTCACCCGGCAAACCTTCCTCCCCTTCAAAAGAATCTTCCACAAGGATTGGCGGTCCCAAAACTGTTGCATCTTAGGAGACCAAGGCACCGATCCATTAGTGACCCGTCTACATTTCTCCTCCGCATTTCGCCTTACGACGTACATCTGGTGGTGCAGGCAATTATAATGACGACCCATCTTTGCTGTCATGGTCCCTTCATTTAGTTGTAGTTGGTGGTGTAAGGACTCCAATCGAGATGAGATGGAGTATTCCTCGTAGCCCTTGTGAACAAGCTGCAGGTAGCGGTGGACTGCTGTAGTATCCAACATAGTAAGTTTGCGGGGTTTGTACGGGGTCTTCTGTGGTTTGTACCCTCCCAAAGATTTCTTCAGGTCGATATCAATCCAAATACCACAATGGTCGCAGGAGAAAAACTCATCAAAGTTGTCGTAACCTCCTGCCTGTACAGCCACCCCAGAAGTTGTGAAAATGCCGTCAATCGGTTTGCCCCTTTTGTTCCGGTGCTGAGTGGCGGCCGTTCGACCGGAGTGCCGTTGGAGGATAGCTTCTTCCATACCGACATCACAAAGACGTTGGCGAAAGGAAGAAGACTTTGTTGAGCTGATGTCCTCATTGGCGTCGACCCCCAAAATTACTTCACAGCCTTCATTGCGCCATTGGGTGATGGTCATGTCTTTAACAAATTCGGGAGTAAAACAATCTCTCAGGAGCATTTGTCTCAATTCCTTATTCACAGCATCCTTTCCATCATCACCAAATTTCCTCAGTCCTTGATTGATGTAATACTGTTGAATGAAGTTCAGACCTTCATCAGTATCGAACTTGGCCTTGATCTGCATCATGCAACGAGCGATCAGAATAGCGTTGTTGTGCTCTTCATAATCAGCTTTCATCTCATTCCCAATCTGTTGGAAACATAGATTGTGCTGTGCTTCAAGGATAGCTTTACTGTTCTTAGTACTGTGACTTCCTTCTTTGGTACGAATGCCAGATTTTAACTTGTTCTTCAACGGTTTCAATTCTCTCTCTCGATGCTTGTGTCTTGTCGCAACTTGATTCTTGTTCTTATTGGCAGAACTACCACTCCTGCTCGAAGGCCATTCTCTTGGTTTCTTTGGAACTTGAGAAAGGTTCAGCCCGGACATTGCAGCTTGTGCATACTTTGCCCAGATCGAGTGACTTTTACTACTTGAGGCGTTTCTTCAGGCTCAAATACAATCTCTTCTTCTGGCGGCTCTTGTAGGTCCTCCAGATCAGTAACGAGGCTCCCAATATCATCGGTTCCTCTATGGACATTTTCTTGATGGTGATCCAAATCGGCCACAATAGGTTCTTCCTCTTCATCGCCTTCATCACCCAAATTGTCATCTGATTCATAGTTGACATCTCCACGGAATCTGACAGTGAGTTCTGGCATATCATCGACATCATTGTCTGCATCTGCCAAGAGCTCTTCTCTTTTGGAGTCATCAATATCATCAAATTGTCCAAGTAGGTTGAAATCACGTTCATCTTCATCTTCAGGTTCATAGTCCTGATCAAAGGCTTCTTCTAAGTAACCTTGTTCCGTGTCATCCACTCCTGCAATTTGATCGCCATCTTGAAATGTCTCCAAATCTCTCTTCTTATCAAAAAACTTCATGGAAGTAACACCTTCGGCAGCAGCCCAAGCTTCAACACGCTGGATTACTTGATCGGTTACGGGTAGTACAACGACCTTGGGTCGGGAAATCATCTTCTTAGTATTGAGGTTGAGCACTTGGTGCCCAGTATGTTGTCCCTTTGTAGGTTCAATGTAAATCGCTTTGATACTCCGGGGTTCCATTGAATTGCTGGAATCTGTTCCAATTGCATGAACATATTGTCCAAGTTCAGCAACCATGTCACTCTTGTAGTTGATATTGACATTATCAATGAGTTGCTGCGGACTGAAATGTGATGAGATACTGTCTTTCTGGGGAAAGACATTCAATAGCTCGGCGGCTCGACGTCCAAGACATTCAGGGATCACTTTTGGGACCACTTTGTAGGGTAATCGTGCAAGAGCTACTCTGACTCTTTCTTTCAGCGTCCTATTGTTTCGCTCAGCGGTAGGCTCGTGGTCTCCAGCTGCAGTCGGGTGAATAGTAACACCCGTATCGTCTAGCATATCATCCGTGAGAGGAATGAACGCCCGATCACACTTGATGATCTTGACTTGAAAGCCTGCCTTGTTATAGCGGCAGAATATCTTATCCAATGTTTCAAATACAGGGTCAGTCTTCAGGTTCTGCACGGGAATACATGAGCGATAACCCACAGTGGTATCAATGCAGGTGAGAAACTTAGCATTCTTGATCTCCATGTGATCAATACAGACGGTAATAGATCGATTGTGCTGATACAATTCCTCTGGTGGACTGAAGAAGTCGTCGTACATCTTCTTCGGAGTTGATCTTGTTGACTTGCCTTTCAATGTAGAGGCGCCAGGTCCAAAAATTGCTTCGGCATGATTGATCGCTTCTTCGGTGATAGGACAGTTCTTGATGAGACCAGATCGGATCGCATACTTCAGACTTTTGGTGCTTGGAGCATTGAGTATGTGCATTGCACTTCT